TATATATATAATTTTAACTACAGTAGATGAACAGTTATTATGTCTTTAACTTCACCAAAAAACAAAACTAGCATCGATAACAAAAACACCAACAAAAATTGAAAAATAATATTATATAGTATATCCAGCAATGATTATATGTTTATAAGATAATATGAACAGTTTTATGCTTGGACGTTGTGTAAGTTCAATATTCAAATTATTCCACAGTTTGACTCCACTTACTGATACACAAAAGTTTTTTCTAGCAGTTCTGAATTTGCATATTTTAAATTGTGATTCCCCCCAAAACTTATGAATTAGCTCCTTAGTCTTAAACAAGTTTTGAATGTTAAAAAAATAAAATCACAAATCGCTGAACAAATGTTATTAAAACTTAAAACGTTCATACAATAATTAATGGATGTACACCTAGATCCAGGTAACTGTTGGAATCAATTTGATTCAAGTTGTCTGACACAACAAAGCAAACTTGGCAGACACAAAAAAGATTATAACTTTTACAGATATTGAACTAAATGTTGATGTCATAGTAGCTGAGACTGCTGCCTGGAGAGAAAGCCTGCTAACATACAAAAAAGTGCTCCGTAAAGCTAGAACTTCATATTATTCATCTTTAACAGATGAGAATAAAAATAGCCCCAGGTTACTTTTCAGTACCATAAAGTCTAATGGAAATTCCTATTTCTATTGATTCATGTATCCCTACAACTATAAGCAGTGATGACTTTATGAGATTCTTTATGTTCCTCTCAAACCCAGCCGGTCGAAGCAGATGGCCGCTTGTCCTGAGTCTGGTATGGCTAAAGATTTCTTCCTCATGAGGGAGTTTTTTCTTTCCACTGTCACATTCATGCTTGCTCAAGAGGAGAGTTCTGTGATGGAGTTAAATTTAAAGCAGTCTGCTCCTAAGATAAATAATGTTAAATTATTATTTTATATATGAAAGTTTCTGTTCAGTGCCCTGAGATGACTTCAGTTGTGACTTGACACTATGTAAATAAACTGAACTGAATTGAATTAACTGATCACAAGAAATTTGTTGTTTAAAACCATTAAGTGTTGAGGTCTTCTCTGTTTGTTGCAAAACATCTGTTGAACCACTGGACAATTTTTTATTAAAATTATCATTGAATATCTACAACTGAATACCCTTTAAAGGCAACCAAACACAAAAATGGCTACAACTTATTATTTTTTTTATATATTGAGCTAAAATATGTAAAATAGGTTCAAAATAAACTAAAATAAATAGCTAAGCATTATCCTCAACACATAATTGGAGCACAACATGACATAATTGGACATCTGTTGGAAATAACGTTTGTCTGTTAGCGCAATATCTCATGAACCACTAGACTGATTTCACTGAAGCTCAAATTAATTATTTTCCGTTGATTTAAAATGTTGGCATGAAAGGTGGCGAGTGAAAGGCATTCCTTCAAGGAACGTTAGGCATTTATTTTTTGCTGAACAGAGAACAATAAGTCATGCTGTCTTCCACATGTCCAGCAATTAGTTTTGTGATGGAATTGAAAGAAAACAGTACTCACCCTTATTCTTTTTTGTGCAAAGAAACAAACAGCTACAGATACGAACACGACAAGGATGATCACCCCCAGAATGATGATTACTGAAGGCCAAAATACAGAATTTAAAGAGTCACAATTTCAAAAACATGTTTTTTGAAAAATAGAAAAACTCACCGATATGGTCCACTGCCGAAGATGAGGCTTAGAAAACAAAACAAAACAAAACAAAAAAGTTAATAATTAAGTCAGTTTTATAGATTTTGTGCTGACATTTGGTGAACTTGCTTGAAAAAACCGTGGTACAGCCCTGGCGACATACATCATCACGTATGTGCATTATGAAATAAATCATATGTGATGACACCACTGATGTTCAGGGGAGTGGTGAAGCAGAGGTTAGAGAAGGTGGGCCTGTGATTGGAAGCTCACCGGTTCAACTCCCCGGACCGATAACATCAAAATGTGGGTGGAAAAGGTGAAGCACCCACACTTGCCTCCACCCTTCTTTGCACCACTCTGGGCCCTTGAGCTGTATAACCTTAACCTGTATAAATAATGGTTGAATAAATAAAAATGGAATTAAATTGAACAGCTCTACAAAGTAAATGGATCAACAGCTGGTTCCCTTCAAAGAGCCATATATCCCATCTCTATCGCAGAGATAATGAATACTTCTATTACTAATTAGCTCCTAAAAATGTTGCTCAGAGTTTTATTATGTTTCAAGCAAATTATTCACAAGTGACACTTTTACAGTAAAATGGTTAATTTTATATCACAACAGTGTTTGTAACCAGGTGGTACAACAAAAAGTTATTTGTCATCATGTTTAAACTCACTTATTTTGAAAGTTCCCTTTTGGAACAGTCTTGTAGTAACAAAGTTTGGACAACGGGGTGTGTTCTTTTTATTTTGGTAAAAAGAGACATTACACAAGTATGTAAACTGAGAAAACCAGAAGTTTTGAGAGAACATGCTGGAAAGACAAGGAATGATTGTCAATACGGCCTGAGGTCATTTGTTCATCCTTAATCATCAAGACTTTTAGTATTTCCACCATATTGCATGGATTTGCTGGCATGTGGACAACGTGTTCTGTAGGTGCCACTGCTGTATTTTATTGTCTATGTTTTGTGCATATTTGTGGAACCTTCCATATGTCTTAACCATTTTACCTCTCTGACAGCACCTTTTGTGTCAACATCAAGGATTTTATTTCAGCATCTGCAGCTCTTCGGTGGAGGGTACCACAGGGGTCCCTTCTCGGTCCTCTTCTCTTTTCTTAATACCTGCTGCCACTAGGTGCCATTTTTCGTAAACACGGCATACCTTTTAATTTTTATGCCAATGACTGTCAAATTTACTTTTCTCTGAATCACACTGGTGCACGCTCTATCCAACCTCTTGGTTGACATCACGGTTTTAAATTTCTTAAGTTTTAATGAGAAGATCACCTAATGGCACGATCAAGAATCACTGTATTGACCTCTTCTCTTTAGCCTCGTTAGAGAAACAAGTTGTCACTAATCTGGGAGTGAAAAGCTAAACAGTCATTTAAACATGATTGCTAGAGCATGTTTTTTGTTTTCGTTTTTTTTAGTTGAGGTGACTGTCTAAATTGAAGCCCATACTGTCCAAAAGTGACCTTGAGACAATAATACATGCTTTCATAACATCCAGGCTTGATTACTGCAATGTGCTTCTTTTTGAATTAGTCAGAATTTCTCTGCACGTTTACAACAGGTTCAAAATGCTCCAGCCCGATTTTTAACCAGTACAGGCAAAAGAGAGCACATTACACCAGTTTTGGCCTCCCTTCACTGGCTCCTGGTTCACTTTCAAATTCATTTCAAAATCATTTTGTATGTTTTTAAATCGCTGAATAATTCTTCCCCTTCTTATCTCACTGATCTTCTGCAGCCATATGTCCCACAGCACTCTCTGAGGTCAGCAGACCAGATGCTTTTATTGGTTCCAGGCACTCGTTTTAAGCTCAGAGGTGACAGAGCCCCTTCTCTGTTGCAGGTCCAAGACTGTGGAATGAGTTACCACTGCATGTCAGACAGGCTCCCTCTCTCACTGTTGTTAAGTCACGTTTAAAAACACACTTTTATTCTCTGGCTTTTGAAAATGTGTGTGTTGAATTTAATTTGTCTGTATTCTATATAGTTATATTGTTGTTGTTGTCATATTTGTAAGGATAAAGTTCTTATCTTTACCTATTTGGATCTATGTATTTTATCCTGTGTCCTTTGCTTGTTTTGTTTTTCTGTACAGCACTTTGGTTGGCCTTGTTGCTGTTTTTAAGTGCTTTATAAATCAAGTGGTCTGGTATGATATTTGTTTGGCCTAAAATAATTAAACTAGAAACAAAAAGCCCACATATAAAGAAACAAAATTTGCATTTGGAGTGTGCAGTCATTCAACCCTGGCTTCATATAAAACAGCAGGTGCAGCTTACTCCTCTGGCCCGTTGTCTTATTAGTGGTTTCAAATGGACCCTTTGGAGGAGGTGTTGGCTTGGTCAAGGGCCTCACAAATCCTTTCGTTTGAGTTGGAGTTGGAAACTTGTTTGAGATGGAAACTTTAGTACTGTTACGACTCAGATCTGAGGAACATAACAACCAACAACATTAAATATCAAAACAAAAAGTAAGTGGTGATGAATGAATAGAGAATGTAGTGAAATACTTTACTGACCAGTGGTAAAAGAATCTAAAAAGCTGCTGTTTTGTGTTTTGAGTGTAGAAATGCTGAAGTTGTCAGTGATGTCCATTTTGTCGGTGGTACTTTGGACAGTTGTGATGTTTGTGGTGCTGGTTTCATTGGAGCTGACGAGTTCTTCCTTGGGGAAATAACTACTGGTAATGCTTATTGTTGTTGTAGGAGCCGTCACAACAAAACCTACAACCATTTCCACAAAATAAAAAAAACAACAACATTAAACAAAAAAAAAAATTTTGGAATAGAACTTTAAAATAAACTAAATGTATCTACTTTTGTTTATTAAGTTAGAAAAAATATCCTGATGCATGCTCATTAATCCAGGTAGAAAAATCCAAGAAAGTTCAATCTGGTCCTCTGGACATTCAAAAAAAGCAGCAGCAAAAAAAGTTCAGCAGCAAAACTGGCTGATCCACTCTGAGAAGGTGCTATTTAAGAGACTGAGCTGAAAACAGCAGCTCAGACTGAGGAAATCTCTTGGATGAGAGACGAAACGTTTCTACATTTTTTTTTTTTGCTTTTTTTTTTTTTTTTTTTTTTTTTTTAATGTCCAGAGGACCAGATTGAACTTTCTTGGAAGTTAGAAAAAAGTTTTTATCATTTTATTCTTTACTGTACTGTCTTAGATTTGCATCATTAAATGGTCTCAAACCCACATTCTCATGTTATATTGCGTCATCTTTAAGCAGAACTTGCCTTTTTGCTAATTAACGATGCATAAAGAGGTCAGAAAGCCATAAATCAATGAAGTATAAATTTCAAATCTTAAGGAGAAATTAATTTAAAAACTGTTGAAACCATAGCTCTATGCATCAGGGTATACTGGAACAAATGCTGAATCTTGATTACATATTAATCCTAACTATGTTTCCTGAATAGTTTTTACTACATTTTTTTAAAGGTTGACATTTAACATTTTCATTAAAAAAAATATTAAAAAATCTAATGATTGCTATATACTGTATCTCTTTTTAATCTTATTTTATTTTAAGACTAAAGACATGCACTGTGTATCACATATAATAAATATTTCTCTTTGACTGACAACTTACAAATAAGTCATTGTCGTTTATCAAAAATATTTTAACAGGAAAGTTTTAAAACATAGATAAGAATTGTGTCTTACCAAGAAAAAATAATGGAATTGACGATATTAGAAGTTTGTTCGACGGCATCATTGCATGTGAAAACCTATTAAGTCCAGGGGTGCTGATAAAAGAAAATGCTCCAGGTTCAGAGAGGATGCTTTTATGTGCTGCTGTTCTTCATTGCTTCACAGCATTGCACACTTCTGAGGTAACATAAAGAGGATGAACGCCTCCGACCGCATCAGGATGTTTCAAATAACGCTGTTGCTCAAACAGAATATGCGAGAGGAAACTGCTTGTAAATAGCTTTTGAAACAAAGTGTGATAGGAGATAACCACCATTACAGAAACTGATCCACTGGATCACTATAAAGTTAAAGGTTTATTTTGCTTTAGAGAAAGAGATAAAAAACTATTTTCTCTTTCAGTTTTGTACGTTTCTAGTCACGCTTTTAATATGCTTTCATTAATCAACTATAAAGACAAAGAAGAAAAATCCTTTGAATGTTGTAAGAGATGATTTGGTCCTGGTGGTTTGGTTTTCTGCTCACTAGATGTCACTGTGACTAAAGAAAAACACATCAGGCGGTTTCTTGCCCAAAGTACCTAGATCAACTGCTTTAAAGTAAATTAACATTGTGACCTAATCATACATTCAGTCTGTTTTGAACTTGAACCAACAGAAACTGAATAGATGGTTGATTATATAAAAATGACTGGGTTTGTTGGTTCTGCTTGAACAAATCTATGTCGAACAGATGTCCTTGGCCTTCAGATGTCACCTGCTGTCAGACGAAACTGATTGCATAAGAGCTAATTTAAAAATCTCGCATTTGAATATTGGAGATAATTGTGTCAGCAAAATAGCTCATAAAACACTGGACAGATTGAAATGAAAGTCTCAGAAAACAATCAGTGGCTATTCAGCTGCAACTGATGAGCTTTTTGAGTAAACCCAATTCAGCATGGCCGCCACTTTAGCTTGATCATATGAAACAGAAAAAAGACAAAAATGCAGCTAATTTTAAATATTGATCTAGAGTTTGGTGTGGTGAAGGCTGAGTACTGTTCACTAGACATCATTTGAGCACTTCACATTGCACAATATGTTTGCTTAAAAATTAAATAAAAAATAAAGGTTGGTGTCAACCCTGTCTGTCAGTAAAATTTTTCATTAATCACTGGACAGATTTCAACAACGCTACCAAAACATAATCACTGAATATCAAAGTTCATGCTCAATCATCCAGGTACAAAATCCAATAATGGTCAATCAGGTCACCTGGACAGTTTATTTTTTGTGGGAAGATGTTTCGCCCTCTATCCGGAGGGCTTCATCAGTCTGAGGAGTCCCACGTAAACTTTTCCCCACTAAGCAGTACACTCCTTTAGTGGACCAACCAGTTTGCTGGTGATAAGATGGTTTCTGGGGGCTGTCCTGTCCCAGTCGACTCCTCCCAGGCAGGCAGCCACAGCCAAAGTGGTTCAAGACATCAAAGTTCATGCTCAATCATCCAGGTACAAAATCCAAAAACTGGTTGGTCCACTAAAGGAGTGTCCCAACAGCAGTACTGACATGTGCAGAGTGGTAAACTCTCCTTAAAAAAAAAAAAAAAAAAACACAGAAGAAGAAGTTCTACTTCCGGTTTACTTCCGGGATGAACGTAAACAAACCTGAGCGCCCAAAATGGACCCGCAACAGGTTTTAATGATGGTGGAGACGTTACTGCACTCCCTGACTGAGCTACAGGTAATACAGATCATTTTGAGCTCTTTCCAAGTTTCTAGTAGAAATGTTGTGTCGCTCACTGACCAGTTTTGCTTCCCTGACATTCTAATATTATTAGCATTAGCCAGGCGGAAATGACATAGGTCGTACATGCAATCAGGTCAGCTTTTCACGATTGGAAAAAAAATGAACAGATTAAGTGTTTACATGCACACCGTTGGGGTTATCGATCGGCGTAAACCACCCGTCTCATTCTGATTTCAGATTATTTCGTATCGAGCTTAATAAACAAAAAATAACCCCAATGGGGCGTTTACATGACACATTTTTATTCCGAACGGCCGATTACTTACTCATGTCCATGTAAACATAGCTCTTTTTACAAATTTTGAGCTAACCTTTGATGTGTTAGTAGCTGAGAGTCATCCACAACATATACATTGAGCACTATATGCTCTTGCAAGATCTCATATCACATGAGATTGTGCAGAACGTTACTTACAAGTGGTTCAACACATCCTGGTTCATGCTCAATAATCCAGGTAGAAAAATCCAATGAAGTTAAGTCAAGTCCTCTGGATGGTTTCTTTTTGTTGAAACGTTTCGTCTTTCATCCAAAAGACTTCCATTAGTCCAAGGAGCCACAACAGACTCAATCTTATAAATATGTGGACGAAACGTTTCAACAACAAAAAAAAAAAAACGGCCAGAGGAACTGACTGAACTTTGTTGGGTCACAAGGTTTGACCAAAGCTACTCTGTCCCTTCTTCTCAGCATTAGATTATTTTTGTTAAAATCACTGGCATGACAGGTGGTAGGCCTTCAAACAATGCTAAATGTTGAAAAGCTTTATATTTTATTTCTTTATTTTTTTTTTACTTTTGAAATATTGGACATTCATTTTAATAATAATGCTCCAAAATAGTGCCTTTTTTTGTTGTTCTCTTGGTTGTAACAAAGTGGGAGTTTTCTCGTGTTTGTAGATGTGTTTTGAGGATGTACATGTGTCTTCAGGGCCGTAGGGTCAGGTATTACTGTTTATTTTCCCGTGCCTACGGTAATCAGCAGCAAGATTAGTGTCAACTGCCACCCAGTCGCTGGCTGGTTCCACATGCCACTGCTGCAGGCCCCCTCCTGCTGTCTGCTCTCACTGGGTCTATTTGGGACCTGCTCTCAGGGTGGGAGGACTGCAAGTCCGCTCTAATTCCAAAGACCAACGTCTGGCGTCCACTCTGGGCAACGTCACAGACCCCAAACAGCACAGGCAGAGAGGGCGTGTTTCTGTGTGTAAAGAGAGTCTCGGAGAGGAAAGAGCTTCGGACCACCCACCCAGAGGATTCAGAGGCACAGGATTCACAGCCCATTCTGTTGTATTGCCACACCGCCCCTTCTCTGAGCATGGCCCACCCCAATTGTTCCGCCTACTAACATGAGGAGGTGGGTGAGAGAGGTGCTGGATGAGCAGTGAACAGTGGGCTGAGATTCTCTACTTCAGCACACAAAAGAGCTGAATTGTGTTGGGCTGGAGCACTTTTTAGAGTGGCCCTGCCATGGGGCCTGAATGAAACATCTGTGGAGGCTGAGCCCAGGGGGGGAAATGCTATTTTGCTGTTCAACCACACTGACAACCTGTTTTCTCTTCCCCCACCCCCCACACAGAGACAGACAGACAAAAACAACTTCCTTCACTGTTATTTTTTTCTTGGCCTTGTAAAACTATTCATACTGTACACTCAAGTTTGCCAGAAGGATAGAAAAATAATGTTACATCTAAGTTTAGAGAACAAGACAGTATATTTCCTGTTTTCCACTAGACTGGAGCACTTTGCATCTGACAGTTTTGAGTTCAGGTTTATTAATTTTTTTTCTTCATTCCAGTACAAACCTCATTTTATTTAACTCAACTTTATACAAAACAAACAAACAAAAAGCAAAACCATTGAATATACAAGTTAACCGATAGATCTCTGTGTGTGTGAAATGGTACGGCAGTCTTGAAACAAGGGTGTTAGGACATACTGATGGGTATTTACAATAACAGATATCAGTTTATCTGATGTATTTCAGTCCTATAGAATAAAGTTAATGTTATTACCATGTACTGGTATCATTTATCTGACATGATCTCATGCCTTACCCAGAATTACGCACAAATTATATACAGCTTCTAGAAAATATGGCTGAAGTAAAAAAATAAAAAAAACATTAAACACCAAGCCTTGAAAAAAGCTAAAATACATTTTGACATTTTGGTGCACATATTTGCAGTTGTACTGTTCTTTAAAAATAAAAAAACATGGTGAACATCTACTGTCATAGTTGTCATTTTCTGGGGGGGGGGGGGGGGGGGGTCGTTAATGTCTTTTGTAATTCTTTAATATCTTTATTTTTTTTGTGATCTTGTATTTTCTGCCTCAATCTCCAGATCTCCACAGTTTTTTTTAATACAACAAACTATCTGAAAACTGGAAATAAAAATTAAGATGTGAATAAACTGGGAAGGACTATCAGAGAGTGGAAACAGATGAGTTGATTGGAGATGTGGAGCAGGTGGTGCAGTACAGTAACATGAAGATAGCTCCCTTCACAGTGGAGGACTACCCCACTATAAGATTTAAACTACAAAACATTGATGGTCTTTGTAAGACGTTTGGGTGCCATTAGGAAGGCCGTGGACTTCCCATTACACATGATGTAATGCAGTGTTGTAGTCTTCATTTTTGTATTGGGTATACTGTGCTTAAAAACCAAAGTACATCAGTTAGTACAATGTAATCATTAATTTATTTTGATTTTTAAGCATATTGGAACATTTCAAAAATCTCCCCGATGCTTATAGTACAACAAACTTTGTACAACAGTTGGCTTCGTATTAAAAACATGTTACAGAATTTTAAAACAGTATCAAAGCAAAACATGTTCAAGTATCAAGTAGTAAGTACAGAAGTATTAATTATACAAAAAAATAGGTTGAGCCAACTCAATGTGTCTGTAAAATGTTCCAAATGTGTTGACAATGACACGAGCCCATGTCACATATCATTGCCAATGATATGTGACATGGGCTCGTGTCATTGGGCACTTTTAAGTGGGTGTAATGAAATTCCCAAACTTTTCTAATTGGTATACTACGTATAGTCGCATATAGAGTACACCACTGATGTAATGATAGGTCCACTATGGTTTTGAGCAGCACAGAGTTTCCGTAACTCATGGTGGTCTTTCATCGTGGTGGCAGTGAATTGAGGTCCAAAGTGGATTGCCAAGGAGTTTGGTGGAAATGGATCCATGAGCTGTGTGAACTGGTGTGGCTTTATTGTTAATTTTACTACCAAAAGTAGGACTGGTCATGCTGGCCTCATGTCCACA